AATACCCATTTATCAAAACAGCGAACAAAAAATTAGTATTCAGCCAGTCCAGCTAGCCGAGCCTTTATTCCTCAACTACATTTGATAGCACGTTTACTAACTATCTGGGCGACTAGGGGCCACAGGCAAAAAATGTTTATGACTGTACTCTTATTTTTATTGCCGTTCCAATTGGGAATGGATAGACTATACCTCAGGGCTAGTACTAGAGTGCCACCAATATTTAGACAAAGCCTTGGTAGAAAATAACATTATCCTGGAGTGGATTAAAGGGCACGACAGGAGTAAAGGTAATCGCATTGCCGACTCTTTAGCCAAGGAAGCGGCTGGACTAAGAATTTTAGGAACCAGTGGCACCTACGGCCTGATGACTTCGACAATTGCGGAACTAACCAAACGTTACACCCATGCTCAATCCCTAAAGAGATGGGATGGAATCAAAGGATGCAATCATCCCAGGATCACCCTGGACAAGCCTGGGAAGCTAGCGCCGAAGAAATATCTGGTGATGACCAGGAAAAATCTACGTTCAACAGTAAGATTTCTGACTGGCCACTGTCAACTAAGGAAACACCTCCATAGTATGGGGCTAGTGGACACACCTCTATGCAAGATGTGTGAACAGGAAGATGAAACTGTCGAGCATGTCCTATGCGAGTGTCCGGAGTTATCGCCAGTAAGAGAGTGTGTTCGGCGAGTCTTGGCCTACATCTGCCGATATAAAGGTGATGTCTCCCAGAGACCTGTCCACCTTCCGGGAAAGGACAGGATGGACGATGACCTAGGAGGACAACTCCTCGGGAGGATGTACAATGGGTCACATGTGGCCTAAGTACTACGGGCTTACTCTCACCCTCCCTACTATACAGATACAGAGAACTCTTTAGCGCTGTTCAGACCTTCCAGCTATCTATTATCGCTACTTTTGTAACCTCCGGTATATTACCATTCACTTGACTTTATTTCAATTTTTGCTGAATCATAATTGATAGATAATGTTTTGTGACATATGTTTGTTTTAGAAATACGCCGTAAAAGCTAACTACGCAATACATTTGATCCAAGATAATTTTCAAATTTACCCCAGTTCAAAGTAACGATAAATTATATTTACTTAAGATTATTGTAAATATTGAGTTCAAATATTTGGTGATATGATGAAAACTATTGAATTTAACTAGTGATTACTTTTTAAATATTCAACGACGAGTGTATCTTAAGAATGTTCGAAATATATGTCAGCTCATAAAGCGAGAATGAAACCAGATCTTGATGAAGAATTGAAGAAAACAATTGTATAAAAATTAAAATAAAATGGACACGTTGAAAACGAAACCTTACTCATAAACACAATCTGAAGTGATCTGTCAATGATCTAAAATTATTTTGAAGAAGCACAGAAGTGAATGGAAGCTTAAAGTTATTTTGTGAAGAGTTATAAAATCAAATATACCCAAAGCTAATAAACAGTTTCCTTCGTGGTATTCCAAGGACTTAATAATAAAAATAAATATCACAAATTTTCAGTTAAAGATGAATTTCCAAACCAAATATGTGCAGTTGCGAAAAAAGATAAAACGTCAAACTAAGACTGGATGTTAACTTTATAAATCAAACATAAATCAATATCTGGAAAGAGATCCCCGACTGAATATTGGATTTTCAACAATAGTTGAATTTATTCTAATGGAATTCCTAAGGAAACTGTTTCTGAAAATGGTAAAGTCAATAATGAAAGCAAAATTGTTAATCGTTTGCACAACACTCTATTTAGATCTACATTTGAAGGTTCTACTAATAATACAAAACCTTGAATCACTGAATGTGTCTCTAAAATTCAAAGGCAAAGGCAACATTTCTATACACATAAAAAATTCGACAAAAATGTAGAGTAAATGTCATTAAAATTTATATTATTTTATGAAATACAACAACTTACCTCATTACTCGGAACATAGTATCCTCTCTATTGGAATCAGAATTCTTGTGATGCCCTCCTTTGAAAAATACAGAAAGTATTGCCATGCTGATGCCGAATATAGCAACGTCTCCGTACTTGATATTTCTAACCAAACCTCGGGACCTCGCCATATTCCATAAGGTTTCGGTGGCAACGTTACTCACATATAAACATAACAGTGTCCTTCTGCTTGGACGTTCTATTAAAATGGAGAAGACACTAGATAGAAAGGCCGGTATTGCTGACACTGTGAGAATGTTGAAATTCCCTAACAATCTTCTGCAATGGAAAAACCGAACATATGTACACATTTTCTTTCATCTATTATCATATAAGCCGATTGTGCTTCCATTCGACATTAATAAAACTGTATCAATATACAATGGAAAATTAGCAACGAAATTTTATAGGCATTTTAGTGCCGAAATTTTCAAGACTCTCGATTACTATTAGCTGACGATGTACACTCTTTTGTACAGTGCATTTTTTTATTCCCACCACCCCTTTTATTTTTTGAACGGGTCACCTCAAAAAATTGAAATTTGGGATAATGAAATTAATGCATCAATACTTTATTTTGAAGTGAAATTGACAGTTGAAACTTTCAAGATGGCAACTGGGCGCCATCTGGGACAAAAAATTAAATGGAAAGGGGGGTTTTGTGACACATCTTTTTGAAGCTCTTGACAAATGCTTCGCAACCCTAGAATATAATGTCAATATCTTCACCTACTATGAAATGGCGAAACAATTGATAATTTCCTGAAGACAAACACATTAATATCGATATTTTTAGAAATATTCCTTTTTAGCTGCCATATGGCATTTCCAAAAAACCGATAAGATTTGTTAATTTATTTTTTGTTTATAAAAACGACAAAAACGTCAATATGACAATGAATATCACTGTTCAGTTAGAATATTCTCATTTAGTTTTCGGTTTTACTAGTAGAAAGGTTAACAATCTCTAAAATGGTCAATTCTCGTCCATTGGAAAAAAAATTGAAGCAATTTTTATTTACGATGCGACGCGTAACTTTCACGAGACCGAAAGCATTTTCAATGAACGTTTTCCGAATCGTCCTATCTGTAGAAAATATTTGAGGGAACTTGTATCCAAATTCACAACTACCTGTAGTGTATATGACAAAAAGCCCCTAGGTCATCCGTCCATTCCGGAAAAACCGCAAGTGCAAATAATTGGTGAGATGGTAGTAAATCCTGAACAGTCTGCTTATTCCGTCGCAAATGATTGTGAGGTGTCTCCTTCTACTGTG